TCTCCCCCCTCCCTCCCTCTCTCTCTCTCTCTCTTTCCCTTTCCGGTCTTCCCTCCCCCTCTCCCTCTCCCTCGCTATCTCCCCCACACCTCCTCTCCCCCACTCGTGCTCTCTCGGTCTCAAAAATTCAGTAAATAAATACACACATACATACAATAAACATACAATTATAAAGCCTAAAATTCTACTCAGTTATGTAGAAACTTCACTGTAATATTGAATCTTAGACAATCTAAGATTTGCCTTGCCTAATATTGAATCTTAGATAATCTAAGATTTGCCTTTTCAAGGAGATTATGTACATAAAGTATTAAAATCTCAAAATAATGTTACCTCTTCTGAATAATGAAAATGAGTATACAACTGTGTGTGTGTGTGTGTGTGTGTGTGTGTGTGTGTATAAATACATATAAAATTATTTTTGAAGTGAAAGAACGAAGAAAAACAAAATTTTGGCTATTAACCCACTAGTGGTGAGAGAGATAATGTACAGAAAGTGTTTGCTAAGGAATCGTAACAACAGAATCTATAAAGCTCATGATATTTACAAAATTTTGACTATATTTTTCCAGGTCATTGTATCTTTTCAACCACTCTTTTATGTCAGATTGATTCAGCTGGTCAGAATACAGCATAAGTAGCCCATAGTTAAGGTTCCTTCTTTTATATCTAGCATGGAGAAATTAAAGGGATCGTTTTACATTTTGTGTTCCATGTAAAGAGATTATCTGTAAATTCAGCGTTAAGATGTACAGATCTGGTCATTCTATGCCATGATTTTTCCTCACACTTTTCTATTATCTTTACTCAAAAACAAATTGTTACTGCAAAACACTGAAGTTAAAAGCACAAGAGTTAAGTTATAATGCAGTATGAATTTTGTTGTGTTTTTTACTCTTTTGACCTTTCTTGTAAAACAAGGTGCTCACATTTGATGTTTTTTTCAGCTTAAAATTTATAATTCTTGTTGCCCTGGGCTCAGATGGTATGACTTAGGCCTCATTAGGGAAGTTCATGGAAGAAAAAGTCCCACCTCAGGAAGAGATGTCTTTATTATGTAGTTTTAAAAGGTCAGGAAACTACTTTGGACAAGTTTTTATTAATGGTGTATAACTCAAATTTATAAAATACTAGACCCTGTGTTTTGGAGCCAGGCAGCTCTTTATTAGGTAAATTTGATTCAATAAATGTTTATAAAGGATCAGTTATGCACAAAAACCAGAACTGGGCCATGTGGAGAATTTATGGATAAATCCGTCCATTCACCAAATATCTGTTAAGCATTTGTGTCAGTCTCCGTTTTGGGCACTAGTAGCAGCAATGAATAAGACGTGTGCTCTCTTGCTGTGGAGCTTATATTCTAGTAAGTGAGTACTCTCAAAGAGTGAAGAGTATGGAAGGGAGTTGAATTGGGGCCCAAAACCAGTATATGATAAACTCTAATATCAAGGAGTGGTAGCATAAGTGTCATAAAGAGAAGAACAAAAAGTTTATGGCTGAGGATCAACAGAAGATTAAAAACAAAATCCAGTTGGGAGGATAAGAGAAATCGGTAGGTTGAGGAAAGCGTGCTGAGGATGAACCTGTGTGCCAGGTCAGGGGAGTACAGAACATCCTGAGGGTAGAGGCTCTGGATTCTGTTCAAGTTTGTAATTGTGAATCATCAGAATGAAGGAGGCAAGTTAGAAGGCTTCCCAGGAGGAATGTCGGCCAGGTGGATTTAGAAGATGAGCTAAGTTTTGTAATAAAGATATGACAATAATTGAGCTCCACAGTTCAGACTGTCACTTCCACAGGAAGATATATACTACCAGAAATCTTCAGGTCATGGGGCCCTTCTTGGACATCTGGGAATGAGAAAGGGGACCCAGTGACTGCCCAGAAGCAGCCAACCCTCATCCCTTTGTGTCTGTCATTCTTGCACTTAATATTATTTATAGAATCCATTTTTAATAAAATGAAATTAAATAGCTGACCTCGAAATTCATGAAAGACCTCATGAATTTACCTGTACATCAGTAAATTAAAACAAAAAATAAGTAGGTAACACATTTGGTAAAGGAGAATGATAGTCACTATTTATCCATTTCTACATATTGACTGAATTAAAACTGTTTTGAAAACTTCCGGTGAATGT